AGGAGCGAGTCTTGGAAACAAGATTTTCTCTAGTGAAAATTTAGGATGTCAAATTTCAGTTCCCTACTTAGCAACATTTCTTAAATACCCCTTAAGCAGGTACAATCGTCTGCAGTATCGCTAAAGTATCATGGCGACAGAGCCGCCAACCAGCGCGAGCGAAGGGAAAAAAGGGGTCATAAAAGTGAGGGGGTGAACAGTTTCACCTGTATTCAAATTTCAAACCAAATCTAACCTAATTAAATACGAGTAGCCCTTGTATGATGGGTCAAAGAGTAATTGTACTAGGTGTTGCTCAAGATATCGGACGACGATATGAAGGCAGAATAATTAAAGTTAAAAAAGTGCTTCAAGTGGTAAAAAAGAAAAAAAATCCCGTAGTGACGGATGAGATAATTTCCAACCCTGAGTTAGTAAAATGAGTGCAAGGTCTGCATGTTTTCCTTTTTTGTTGTGTTAACTACATCTTATTTGGTTCATGCGAGATCAGAAGGAGTAAACAACTAAGGTCATATTAAAAATAGCATTAATTTGATTGGTCAAACCAGCAAATATTTGAACTGTTTTAGCGAATAACATTTCATGTAAGAATGAAGCTGATCACTAATAATTTACAAACTTGAACTGACGAGAACCTCATGCACTATACGCACACAAAGCAAAACAAAGATCGCTTTACTTTAGATATGGGCAACAAACTTATTGGACGGATGAATGGACATTTTGAAGGTAACAGATCACATTATTGTTAATTGTTGATATGTGGATTATATTGTTTACTTGTTACAATTCATTTAACAGCCTTTCTTTCCTTTGACTGTTACGGATTCTATTTCTTCGAAGGCGATTATGCATCCAATCACCCAAAGGTGAGTGAGTTTATTTATTTTGAAGTAAAAGCTTTTTAATGATCATCAGAAGCTATCAGAATCACTGCCAGTATAAATTAAATAAATTAATTCAAAAAATGTTCATAACTGCCGATATCCGATCGAAATTCACTACACTTCGTTCTCAAATTTAATATGAATCGGGAGGAGTCAGGATGGCAAAAATTGCTTCTAAGCAAAAATATCATTGAATGCTTCGTGATTCCTTAGATTAACCTTTTCACTTCTTAAGTCAATCACGGGGAAGTGTATTGTACTTTTGAGTCTGCATGTGGACAAAACTAAAAGGGTGGATGTGTGATCATTCACTGATGAAACTTCTACAGCAGCAGTTTCGCACGATCGCTCTTCTCTGGTTATAACTCTTTGGAAAATGGTTCAATTTTATTAATCTTCTTAAGTGGCAACCAAAATGACCGCTCAATTTCATCAGTACTTTTGCATGGTTTAATTTGCATTTTAGTATTTTAGAACATTAAATTAGTATTTGGCAGGGGTTAACAGTAATTAATGTTTGGTAGAATTTTACGATCGGGAATTGTAAGCAGTTGTCCAGGAAGGCAATTCAAAACAGGTTGTTAAAGTTCAAACCAAGAGACGGCAACAAATCTGTGTTACAAAACCTCCCAAAAAGGTACTAACAGGAACAGAAACGCAGTTTAAGCGACGAGAAGCGATTTCAATGCTGCAACCTGTTTGCGCGTGACAACTTGTGTTTCATTTATGTGTTAAGTGAAGATTTACCACTTGGAGGCTAGACTCGTAAATATCACCTATCGTTCACAAATTATGAGATTTCCCATATGTTTTGGCCTTGAGAGCACGAGAAGGACAAAAGGAAGTAACGTTGTAAAACTTGGAAGAGTAGTAAACTAATGGGTGTTTTCTAGCAGGTTTGATCATCATGTAGCGATGCCGCAGTACATCCTGCATAAAAGAATATCTGTATTAAATCGTTTTCAAAAAAAAGTACCTATTTTTGATACCAATTATATTGGGAAATTTAAAAATCATCACGGAGGTTTTTTCGGACGTCAACAATTCCCGAGGAGCTGCAGCAAATCACGTCCACCTGTTTGACTTACATTTTTTTAAACTACAGAAAATACTATTTCGTCCACCGCAACCAGAAATATATATATATGAGAGACCTGCACGGTCAAACCCTTAAAAGATATCGGTAACAATTCCTGGGCTTTTTTTTCTAGTCACTTCAACTTAAAATTTACCTATTAGATTTTGTGAGATTTTCTTCAAGATTTTTGTTGGTTTAAGCTAAGACAAGCAAGAACCGCTCAAGGAGAAATCTCCTAAAGTTAGGCGATGGAACTGATAAGTGAGTGTACAAAGAATACATTCTACCAGGGAGAGGCCTGCCTTAATTTGTCTGTTAAAATTATAACTAATAAGGCTTGCAAGTTTTAGAGTCCTGCTAAGCCATACTGTGGGAAAGCGGTTCAAAACAGATTTTTTAGTTTCAACACAAACACAACAAATCTGAAATACATTCCGTGGGGAAGAGTTTGAAAAACTTGTAAAATCAGAATAAAATAGCTCATAATAAAAAATCTCAGACATAATTCTTATTATTTGAAATATACAATCTCAGCTTAGTTGGGTCTAGTTGATAATCTTTGTGAAATTGCAAACCTTTTTTTCAGTTAAAAAAGGCAGTGATCAAATTAATTCAGGTGCAAAAACACAGTTAAAATAAAAGACGCCATATCATCCCGCGACGAATTACTGACTAATCACTTAACAACCAAGTCACTTTGCTCCTTGGAATACACGTAGAATGTTTTCTTAACTTGTTATCTCTAGAACTTAATCAAACAAATCAAAAAAGTGATTAACATCACTATTTCACAAAACAGTTGTCAACAAAAAGTCCTCAGAATTAGGGATTTTAAGGTAAAAACAATTTAGGTTTGAATATTCCTAGTTAATTTAAGAACTTCTTTACACGCTTCATTATTTTATCTCATAGTTCCCTTTCTTCTTCCCTGCTTTCCTGGACACAGAAAACGCAGGTACTTGAAATAGGAATTATCCTAAAGATTAGCAGTCTTTCATTTAATGTTGAGCACCACGACCTTCTCAATTAAACTGAGGAACAAAGTTTAGTGAAGAGTTTGCAAATTAATGAGCATTATCAGTTGTGAAAACTTTGTTTTCCTAAAAAGAAGTAAATAATCGTTCTAACACTACACGTCTGATTGAGAATTTTAGTGCCTCCTTTTAAAATTCAGTTTCAAGTGAGCGATTGAGTTATTCTCGAATTTATGATCGGTGCTGTGCCCCCATTTTCCATTAAGAACTGATGAAAAATTGGAATCTGAGTGCCTTAATTGAAAGAGAAAGGAATAAAATACAGCAGGCGAACTACGAATCGGCTGAAAACCAGTTACGAATGTTATTTTCTAGATCGTCTGTTATCAGTTTTCTATTAATATCCACTAACGATTCGCCGGGGTCTTCTTGGTTCTTCTTAGCTTTTTGTCGCCTAAGAACTGTAAAAGGTGTTGACTTACGTTGCAATTTTTTTTCTGTAATTTCAGTCCCATTGGTATACGTCGGTTTCACCGAGCAAAAAATTAATTGATAATCAAAGTTCAAAGGACACTTGAACACACTTTCACTGTAGATGCATAGAAAGATTAAGAACGTAAGAGTAACAAAGGCTATGAATTAAAAGAGGTATAGTTCATGTTTCATGTCGTGTGTTTGAGTGCGGTGTCGAAAGTAGTAATGCTTCTTGTCAGTGAACACCGCCATGTTCAAGTAAATGCAGGCAGCAGAAACTCAGATTAAATCAGCAATAAAATCAAGCAAATCGGCTGCAGTAAAATCAAGCTTGATTGATCAAGAGGTGATATTTCCATTCTTTCTTAAAACTTGTTATAGGGGACACATTTGAGTCAAGGGGCACCGGGAGTTTCTCAAATCTTCAGAACAAGAAAATTTTAGAGAAGTCCAACTTAACTAAATTAGTGATTACACGAGATCTAATAAATTTAGTTTCCACGCAAATTTTGTGTTATTATTGTGTATATTAGATACTGGAGTCAGGACACCAAGGAAGACATGCATCTGCATGTTATCGCTTTCATTCTCAATCTTATGTGTTAGGCAGCATGCTCATATTCGAAATTTATTTATTTTATTGTCTAATTCAATCGGGACCGGCACTAATTACTTAGCATGTGCAAAGAGAATACATGGCAATGTACTAAGATGTCTAGTACTGCCGGCACAGTCTCAGGCAATCATTTCATAACTTAACCATCCGAACATGTCAAACTGCACAATATATTTGTTTCAGCATATTAACATCCAAGTAGAAGAGAACAACAAAAAGCATATCGTTAAGTAGGTGTCAAAAATGACCAGTGATGAAACTTCTGTTTCTGAACAGAATTGGCCAAATACCTTTCAAATTTCGCATAACGTGAAACATGGATGGGCTGTTAGAGTCAATATAGAAATTTTCTCGTCCAATAAGAATTTTGGATTTTTTCGTGTTCTATACGTCACGGATCCCTTCAACTTGTCCCGTCTTGTAACTTATGGAAAGTAAACACAATGAATGAACTCCTTTTAATTGGTCAATTGAGAACTGATTAAACCAATGGGAAATCTCGCCTGAAACTTGTCTTAAGACACTTTTTTTGGTTATGTTAACTAGGTAAGAAGAGGACATAAAAAGTTTCTGGTTTGCCAAGGATTTGTCATTCTTCATCAGGTGACTAGCTACAGCCTCACACCAACAAACCAGGTTAGTATCTACTAGTATGTTATCATACCAAAGTTATCACTGGCTCATTTTTACTTTCTACTTATACTGTCCACTCCTGGGAGTTCTTACACTTTCAATTCTCTTTAACTTTTTGAGGGAAGTAGAAGAGTTATTTTTTAACCCTATATTTTATCCTTAATGCGTACTAAAAATTCGTTTATTTTAGAGTCTCTACACTTAATATATTAATTTTTTGTATACTCGATTTGATAAAAAAAGGGAATAGTCTAGTTTTTAATTAACGTGGTATATTTCACTGGTATAGTTCATGATGTAGGCGTGATAAAGTTAGTAGGTTGAGTGCTGGTGATGGGATGAGTTTTGAGTCTGTTCATGTTTTCGCAGAGTTTACAATGATGCAATCCTGTGCGAAGATACCGCTGGCTAATACGTTAGGGCTACTGCTGTTACTATTAATCAGCTTTTGTTCTGCAAATGACAACAACAGCAGCAAACCACGTGATAAGGTGAGTTTGTTTAATAAAAGATCGAGTAATCGGAAAATTCTTTAATGTACTTTGCTGTATGATAATTGAAAAGTGATACCACTGAACAGGGTCTATAGGTAAAAAGGTCAAAGGAAATGGCTGACTCAAAGATTGTCAAGAAGTTTCTCTAAAATGCCACGGTCTGCAATTTTTTCAACTCAAACATTGGGAATTGTTTTTTTAGAATCTTAAAAGATATTTAAAGTAAAACAAATTTGGCCAACAGGACAATAATGTATGTTTCCAATTAATATTCTCTTAGATTACACGTCAGCAGACATCATCTTATGGTTCCTGTGGTCATGGTGGGTGTTTCTGTGCACCAGGAATTCCAGGCATCCCTGGAAGCCCTGGACCCGCGGGACCAGTAGGTGTTGCGGGATCACCCGGTAATCAAGGACCTGAAGGACCCATGGGCCCACGAGGAAACAAGGGTGATGAAGGAACCCGTGGAAGACAGGGACCTCCAGGTCCTAGCGGTACCAAAGGTGAAGCAGGTCCACCTGGCCCCAAGGGAACTCAAGGACCCTCAGGTTCAGCTGGTTCCCCTGGAAACAAGGGTGATACAGGTGCTCGTGGAAGTCAAGGTCCCGCCGGTCCCAAGGGTGCTCCAGGATCGTTTGGCCGTAATTGGAAACAATGCGTTTTTAAGAAACTGAACGATGGCAGGGACTCTGGATTGATCAAGGTAAAGACTCAGTTTAAAGCTAAAGATATGTGAGGTTAGCCTAAAGTAAATAAGGATTAACTAACTTCGGATTTGAAAATTCTAGTTTTGTCAACTTTATCACGAAAAATGATTTTTATTAACAACAACAGGCCTGGAACTAGCCCATGGCTGCCTTCAAATAATATCTCTTTATTCATTATTTAACATTAAGTTTTTAAGTCCGATTGTTTCAATTTTGGTTGCTGAAGTCGCTGATCTTCAAATGATCTATGATGTTCTATTCATATTTTCACAGGAATGTATTTTCAAGAAGCTGTCAGACAACACAGCGCTGCGTTTCTTCTGGACAGGCGCTCTTCGAATCTATAACTGTGACGGCTGCTGCAGTCGATGGTATTTCACCTTTAACGGTACAGAGTGTTCAGCCCCAGCAGCCATTGATGGTGGGGTGTACATGGTATACGGAACCGGCAGCAGATTAAAGAATTTGCACCGCGTACGTCACATTGAAGGAGTCTGTGAGAAAATCCACAAAGGCACAGTGCGTGTTGGATTCTGGGTCGGCAAATGTTCTGCTGGTAATTCTGCTGATGCTGAGACAGGCTGGCCCGGAGTGTCCCGTATCTACGTGGAGGAAATACCTCCCCCACAGACTTAAGCCGATTCAGATTTCTTTCTAAGTAAGGATGATTAATAAGCTAACTTTTGACAGAATTTTTAGAGGTCCAAGGAATAAAAATAATGGGTGATATTTTTGAAATTAGAAACCAACGTAGGTGAGGTTTAAAAATAGCTTGAGCGTAAAGATCGTTTGCATACGAAAGAAATGTAAACCAAGCGAGGAATCTGCAAATTAAAATTAAAAAAACCCTTTAAAAATAAGTTATTTATAAGTAAATGTGTAAAAGTTAAACATCATTTGTTTGCCGCCATTCTTAAAACGAATCAAAAGTGAAAGTGCAAAACGTATATTCCCGACCTCCTGGTCGAGTGTATGAAGATATTGTCGAAGGGTGGAAGAGGGTGCTTTGTTAGTGTTAACGTTAAACCCCGTCTGTAGGAAAATGCTTTATGGGTTTGCCGATGTAATTTTCTTCTTTAAAAAAGGAAAATCGTCTTTGAGACTTTAAAAAAGTCTCAATCCAGAATCTCAGTCATAGACGTGTAACAGAAACCGCCAGAAGGCAGGCTGCTGGTCCAGCGACCTTCATCCGCCTATGAACTCCAATTCTAACAGTCACCAAAAAATCATATTTTCCTTTTTTTAAAGGGAGATCTCTAAACTGGCTTTTTCGTGCCATGGAGTGTGTAGTTTGTAACAGTCATGAGCGTTGCCCTTAAATTTCAAGCTCGAACACTGTCATCGCGAATAGAGAGTATTCTTCAAAATGGGCACCCTACCCTCTTTAAACTGACCAACATGTAAAAGTAAAAGTCTTTAAATCACTTGGCTTTTCTGGCATACAATCCACTATCTGCTTAAATGACATCTAAACTCACAGAAGGCAAGTTTCCAGAAATTGACCACCAAGCAGAGGAGATAAGGTTGGGGTGGGGGAAATGAGATCACACTAGCTACCTTAATCCCGGTCATAATTATTGAAGCGCTGCTGTTTTTTTTTTCATTTTCACCCCAGTGCTTTTCCCTAGGAGGGGCAGGTCTCAGTTGGTCTCAGTAAGCAAAAAATCGTGGCCACGAGTTAATCTCGAACCCAGATCTCACTCTGTGGGAGATTAGATACAAGGGGGGTGTATTTTCCGTGAAATCAAATTCAGTGTAACAAGAAATACGTGTATTTGTGGAACAACTTTATAGTTGAATATCATAAGTGACAAATTACTCCTTAATTTGGCGTGCAAATATATTGAAAAGTTGCTATAGCAACATACTTTCCGTATATCTCAGTGCCAAGATGTGGTCAAGTGAATGGAGATAACAGGGCATTAAAAGACGCTTTAGAAAACTTAAATACACAAAAGAGCCCATTAAGAAGGATTCCAACAGGTATTTTGTCAAAAAATTCGAAAAAATGGCGAACCAAAAGTTATGCCATAAACTTTCCAGTGCGTGGAGTTCTCGATAGGATAGCCAAGTAAAAAGCCACCATTTTGAGCGTAATTTATGACACATAATATCAATGGGCAATCCGAATGATATAGGGAATAATTAGAATGTTCACAGTCCCTCATTTTTTTCGTAAAATGGTCGAGATGAAGCCCTTTCGTTACGGGCGGCCATCTTGGATGAGTGTCGAATCTAATTAGGAGGCGAGGGGCGGTTATTCTCACTTCATCCTCCCCCTCCACCATTATGAACCCCTGCACCCGCCCCCTCGGTACATATAAAACCAAGATGGCCGTCTATACTGGAAAGCGCTCGATCCCGGCAAGTCTGATCGGAACTTACCGAAAACAATAGGGGAGTGTAAACAGTCTAGGGAATACTAATTTCACTCGTCACCATTTCATTACACAGTCATAATAATCCTGATTTTAAGTTAAGGAAAAAGAGGTAAAAACTTTCTAGTATTATTTTATTTCAGAGGTCGCATTTCCAAATTTCCCCATTCCTTAAGTTCAGCGTCGAGGGTCTTATCCAATAAACTAGAAAGTGCGCGTGCCGGTAGGGACGAAATTGAAACAAAGTTGTAAGGAGCGAGTGTTGGAAACAAAATTTTGTGTGGTGAAAATTGGAGATGTCAAATTTTAGTTCCTTACTCAGCAATTTGTGGAACAACTTAGTTGAATATCATGGGTGACAAATTACTCCTTAATTTTGGCGTGAAAATAAATTAAAAAGTTGCTATGGCAACATACTTTCCGTATGTCTCAGTGCCAAGATGTGGTCAAGTGAATGGAGATGACAGGGCATTAAAAGACGCTTTAGAAAACTCAAATACACGAAACAGCACATTAAGGAGGATTCCAACAGGTCTTTTGTCAAAAAATTCGAAAAAATGGCGAACCAAAATTTATGCCATAAACTTTCCAGTGTCGTGGAGTTCTCGATAGGATAGCCAAGTAAAAAGCCACCATTTTGAGCGTAATTTATCACACATAATATCAATGGGCAATCCGAATGATATAGGGAATAATTAGAATGTTCAAAGTCCCTCATTTTTTCCGTAAAATGGTCGAGATGAAGCCCTTTCGTTACTGGCGGCCATCTTGGATGAGTGTCGAATCTAATTAGGAGACGAGGGGCGGTTATTCTCACTTCATCTCCCCCTCCACCATTATCAACCCCTGCACCTGCCCCCTCGGTACATATAAAACCAAGATGGCCGTCTGTACTGGAAAGCGCTCGATCCCGGCAAGTCTGATCGGAACTTACCGAAAACAATAGGGGAGTGTAAACAGTCTAGGGAATACTAATTTCACTCGTCACCATTTCATTACACAGTCATAATAATCCTCATTTTAAGTTAAGGAAAAAGAGGTAAAAACTTTCTAGTATTATTTTATTTCAGAGGTCGCATTTCCAAATTTCCCCATTCCTTAAGTTCAGCGTCGACGGTCTTATCCAATGAACTAGAAAGTGAACGTGCCGGTAGGGACGAAATTGAAACAAAGTTGTAAGGAGCGAGTGTTGGAAACAAAATTTTGTGTGGTGAAAATTGGAGATGTCAAATTTTAGTTCCTTACTCAGCAATGTTTCTTAAATACACTTTAAGCAGGCTCAATCGTCTGAAGTATCCCACAGAACCGCCAACCAGTGACGTTAGCGGAGAGAAGAATGGGGCCATAAAAGTGAGGGGATGAACTGTTTTAACTTATGTATTCAAATTTCAAACCAAAATTGACAAAACAAATATAAGTAGCCCATGTGTGACGTGTCAAAGAGTGACAACTAGTGACTGCGCTTTACGTTGCTCAAGATGTCGGACGACTTTATGAAGGCAAAATTATAAAGGCTAACAAAATGCTTCAAGTGGTAGAAAAAAATAAGTAAAAATTAGTAAAATGAGCAAAAGTTTTGTTCTCCTTTTTTGTTAAGTACCGTAATTCCTCTAATAATAGCCGTCCTTCGATTAATCGCCTCCCTCGAATAATCGCCCTCTTAAAATGAAATATTTGAAATTATCGCCACCCTCGAATAATCCCCCTACCCTCTTGCCTTCTTCTCTTTTATTTAATTTTCCCCTCCCTGTCAAGTTGTAGTGGAGTCTGATCCAGTAAAACTGATCCCTGACGATTTATGCTCTGTCGCTGAGGATATTGACCGATTGAAAATTAATCAAGGAACCAAATTTAAAACACTTGAAAAACCGATGCATGTTCAGTGTATTTGATGTGATCATTTTTTGATTAATGGATAACAAAACACAATATATTTAGGGCACGACTTCCAGTGAGCATTGTTTGAAATAACCATCTCCCTCGTATAATTAAATCGCCCCCAGCTATTATTTGAGGAAGTATACGGTACATCTCATTGGTCGGGCCAGTGAATATTTAAACTGTTTTAGGGAATAAAAATTCATGTTAGAATGAAGCTGATCACCAATAATTCACAAACTTGAACTGACGAGAACCTCATTATATGCACAGAAAACAGAGATCGCTTTAGTTAAGGTATGAGCAACAAACTCTGACGACTGAATGGATATTCTGAATGTAACAGCTCATATTATTGTTGTTGGTATGTGGATTATATTGTTTACTTTACTTGCTACGTTTCGTTTAACAGCCTTTGACTGTTATGGGTTCTATTTCCTTGAAAGCGGTTATGCATCCAATTACCCAAAGGTAAATTAGTTTATTTATTTTGAAGTGGAAACTTATTTTAATGATCATCAGAAACACTGCCAGTATAAATTACATAATTTAAAAAATGTTTACAACTGCCGAAATCGGGTAAATTAATAAAAATTCGTCCTCAGATTAGATATGAATCGGGGAGAAATCATGGTGGCAGAAATTGCGTCTAGATTTTTTCACTTCTAAAGTCAACTACGGGGACGTGTGGTTTGAACTGTAATGGGTGATATGTGATCATTGAAATGACAACGCAACTGCAGCACTTTTGCATGATCGCTCTTCTTATTACTCTTTGTAATGATTCAATGTTCTGAAACAGTGGTGCATGTTTTCATTTGCTTTTTACATTTATAACATTAAATTAGCCGATTTATCCTGTCTTGGCGCGGGTTTACACAAATTAATGTTTTTATTACATCCACTTTGAAATCACTGGCTATCCGTGCAATCTGATTGGCTCTCAGCAGTGTGATTTATTCCTAAATCGCACCATTTTTTGCTCTAAATCACATCTGTTCCAAATCGCGTCATTCATGTTCTAAATCGCATCATTTCTGTTTTAAATCGCACCATTTTTGTTCTATATCGCATCATTTCTATTTCGAATACAAAATGAGATGTAAAAGCCTTTTTGTTTCGGCTTTTTAACAAACCGGCTACTCGATCAATAAAATATTAGTACTGACTAAATTCTGCGATTTCAAAATGGATGTAATAAAGTGGTAATTGAACTTCGTGTCGTGCAATTTTGGTCTTAAATCATACTTGTGATTTCAAATCAAACTCGCGCTGCGCGCTTGTTCGATTTTGGAATCACGCGTATGATTTCAGACCAAATTGCACTCCACTCAGTTCAATTACCATTATTAATCGGTAGGGTTGCATAATCGCGAATTG